GTAACTTTCCACATGAAGGTCTGAAATTCAGGAGTTTAATGTTGAATAAAATCATGGGTTAGCAAATCCTGAATTCTTATTAATCATTATTTACAAATAGTTTAATTCCCCATAATTTCAGATAAACTCATTCTTCAAAATACAACTTAGAGGAAGTAGTCTATTTTTCAGCTTGACTTTTTCAAATGCTAGATGATAGGGCAGATATAGATATGAATTTTATAGTGGGTATCACCTTTTTATCATTTTCACCACTTCTTCATTCCTTCCACTCTGCTCCCCCACACACATACTCACACACATACATACACACAACAGGCATATGAAATGTTATGCATTATTCAACATCCCTTGGCTTGCACAGGTTTTAAATTCTCCTCAAAGCTTATTGCAACTTTTAAGTATGAGTTTAGTTCTGATGGTGTTACAAAGTGTAAAAACTATGGACTTTCCATATCAATCCTGTCTCCACCATAACACCTTTATACCTTTGGGCAAGTCATTTAACCTGTGTGAGTTTTAGTTTCCCTATATGCAAACTGAGAAAATAATAGCTGCCTAATGACTCATACTGAGGATTAGAAATTCCATAGACAAAATTCTTAGGGCAAAACTTGGTACCTGGTATGTACTCAGTATTAATTTTCTGTTCTTTTACCAAGTCTTCTATTTACCTCCAAGATGTAAAAAGGTGGCAAAGACATAATTCCAAGAGACTGTTCTGGTGTTTCAGTTCTGAAATGACAAGTGATTCAAGGGTATATCTGAGTTGAGCAAATACAAGGTATAGAGTTGTTCTCACAAAGACCACAAAAAGTAATAACTAATAATTCAGGGAGGATCTCATTGCTGTTATGTTTTGGCAGCTCTAGGTGTATACACTAAAGTGGTATGGAAGCTCAATTCCTGATCAATGTAGACGGAATATCCCACTTTCTTGTGTTGCCCATATCCCAAGAAAATACACACACACACACACACACACACACACACACGCATGCACTCACACTAAGACCTTGCTGTGCCACTGTTGGGTGGTTTTCAACCACGGAACTATATTTTTGTCCTTGCTCTTGATTCATTCTCTGTAAAATATTTGCCTTATTTCAGAAATAATAAACTTTTTATTAATAAAACACTAGCGAGTAAATATTTTAAGTTCAGTGGGCCATCTCATCTATAACTAGTCAAATTTGCAAGTGTAGCACACAAGCAGTAAGAGACATTTATATAAACAATTGAGTATAACTCTTCCAATAATGCTTTATTTATAGAAACTATATCTGAAATCTCATATAATTTTCATATGTCATGAAATACTCTGTGAATTTTTTCAACCATTTAATAATGGAAAAATCATTCCTAGCATGTAGTTATACATGGTGGTTGAATTTGGACCATAGGCCATAGTGTGATTATCTCTGCTCTATTTTGTCTCAGAATTTTCCGTATTTATATTATAAAATACATAAGTCTTTCCTGAGTTGACTGTTGATAATTTCTACCTTTCTAGGAATCTGTCCATTTCTTATGTGTCTTCTATCCTGTGAGAGTAAAAATTCTCAAAGTAGCTATTGATGATCTTCTGAATTTCCACTGGGTCTGTGGTGATTACACCCTTCTCATTCCTTATTGCTTGTATTTGAATTTTTTCTTTCCCCTTTTTGATGAGGTTAGCTAGGGGCTTATCGATTTTATTTAATCTTTGAAAGAATCAGCTTTTTGATTCGTAAATTCTTTGTATTGTTTTCTTCATCTCGATTGAATTAATTTCTGCTCTAATCTTTACTGAGTTGACTGTTGAAATGATATTTCTGTGTTTAATTATCAGGGTAGTTTTCTACTGCTGTCTTAGCAAATTATCAGAATTTGGGTTCTTGACACAAACTTATTATCTCATATTTCTGTAATTTGAAAATCTGAGCTGGCTTGTCTGGTTTTTCTACTTCAGATTTTACAAGGCTGATATCAAGGTATCAGCTGGTTATGTACTTATAAAGAAGCACTGGAAAGAGTCAGTTTTGAAACTTATTCTCGTGTGATGAACACAGTTCCTTGTGACTGTAGAGATGAGATTCCCATTTCCTTGTTAGCTGTTACCTCAGAGCTACCCTTAGCTGCCAAACACCTCTCTCTCTAGTCCTTGCCTGTAGATTCCTACATCTCAGAGCCTTCTTAGAGTGTCAAGTCCTTCTTATGTTTTCAGTCTGACTTACCATTCTGTGGTGTCTCTTCTAGGCATTGTTCAGTATCTACTTCTTTCTTTGTTTTTAAAAGTTCATATAATCACTTTGGGTCCATGAGAATAATCCAGCATAATCTTAGTATAATAAGGTTACTTAGGGCTGGGGAGACAGCTCAGTAGAATAAGTGCTTGCCTGGCTAGCGCAAGGACCTGAGTTCAATCCCCAAGTCCACAAATAAATAAATAAATATAAAAAATAAGTTTATCTAATTAGTAACCTAGTTCCATCTGCAAAGTCTGATTATATCAGTGCATAGTTTAGTGTTTGATTTACAGTAATATTGAGATGATATCTTTAGAACACAATAATCACCATCTGAATTTCCAAACTAAGTACTGATATATACATGGATAGGACACTTAAAGACACATACTGAAATAATTTAATTTATTAAAGCTTTGAAAAAAAAGCTTTGGTTTTGGTAAATTAGACCTTAGGTTTGACATAGTCTATAAGAATATTTTAAAGTGTTAATTATGTCACCAAAATGTTTATGCTTCTCAATAGAAGATTTAGCTCCCTGGAAGTACACCCAAGATGAGCATGCTATATTCTGACCTTTCGATGAATACCTTCTCCAAAGTTAATATTTTCACTTTTTTCTCAAGTGTGTATCTATGTTTAATAGATAACTTGCTTTTGTCTCAATTTGACTTATACTTCTTTTTTCTCAGTCCCCATGATACCCTGATTTATCTCATCATCCTTTTTTCTCTTGTTTATTGCAGTAACTTCCTAATTGGCAAACTTTCTTCTAACTTCTCCCTTCTCCGTGTGTTTCTTCAGAAATTATATCTTCCAAATAACTTTAGAAAAACTTCCAGATTTCTTCATTGGTTCAAGAGTGACATTCCAGCTCCTTAGTATGATGTTCAAGATTACATGACCCCAAACCTATCTTTCAACCTCATTATCCACTATAATCAGCCACAAACACTTTGTCCCAGTCAGAAAGCTATTTTCTACTCTGAAGACATGAACTCTTCTCTAAAAATATTTCTTCAGTTTTAATTAGAAATATGTTTATAATGCTGAATGACTTCTATGGTTGCTAAAATTCTTGCTATAAACAGATATTATAGGTCAAATTCCACATAGTGCAAGTCATCTCAGAAATATTTATTGAACACAGTGCCAATTACTGTTCCTAGAGATAATGAACAACAGAGGCAAGATTTCTACCATCATGCCACTGGTAGTAATATGGATTGTGAAAATACAAAAGAAAGATCATTCATTAAAGTGATGAGGGAGTAGTTAATAATTCACTTTAAAATGTTTTTTGAGGATATAGTCTATTAAAAAAGCTTTTCTAGAAATTAGGAGAAAAAAGATGAATCAGGTAGAGATCAGCTCCCAAGGATCTTATCAACCAGTAGATACGAGAGAGGTTGGCCAGAAATAGATCTGAAATAAAATTTAAAATGCTGTAAGTCAGTAGTGTATAACCTATGCTACACATGTGGTTATTTGTTTTTCTTTTAAGACAAAGATGTTAATGTATGATTTTTTTTCCCAAAAACATCAGTATCTAGGTTTCATTGCATTGTTGGCTTCTTGATAAATAGGTGGGCTTTGGGTTGCAGTTTGGGCCCTTGTCTCTCAAAGACTCACCATCATTGCTATAGCGCATGGCAGAAGTACAAGCCGAGAGAAACTAGTCATTTCAGGAGTGAGGGAGGAAGGTGACTTCACATATCCATTGCAGTAGCTTAGAAGATGAAAAGAAATACTCAAAGATCTGTTTTTGCAGTTTTCAAACTTAAATACTGACCCCTTGTCAATGCCTGGTGCGCCTCTTTGCACCTTGCATAAAGACCACCACTGGGTACCAGCTAAAATAAAGTGCTTCTTTTAA